TCCAATTTGTCAAGGTCTTTTTTAATTGTAATCCTGTCCTCCAAAATGCTGGCAACCCCTCCAATCTTGGTGTCATCCTCACATCTTGTAAGTATACTCTTCACTTCATTATCCAAGTCAATAATGATAATATTGGCTAGTAACAGATCCAGGACTGACCCTTGTGGCATCCTACTAGATATGGCCTCCCAGTTTGACAGCAAACCACTGGTAACTACTTTTTGAGTACGGTCTTTCAACCAGTTGTTCACCCACCCTATAGTAATTTCATCTAGGCTACATTTCCCTAGTTTACTAATGAAACTGTCATGTGAGACTGTCAAAAGCCTTATTACAGTCAAGGTATATCACATCTACTGCTTTTCCCCTCACCACTAGGCCAGCAACCCTGTCCAAAAAAAAGAGAGGGTGGGAATTAGGTTGGTTTGTCATAATTTGTTCCTGACAAATCCATGCTGCTTATACCTAATAACTCTATTATCCTCTAGGTGCTCACATATTGATTGTTTAATTGGTTCGAGTATCTTTCCAGGTATGAAAGTTAGTCTCATTGGTCTATTATTCCTTGGGCCATCTTCAAGGCCATACACAATCACTTGGAAAGGACAGGATTTCACATCCCTTCACCAAAATTTATCACATTAGGGATAATCCCCCACTCTGCAAATATATGGCTTTTCAAATGTGAAGTACGTGTCATACTGCAAAACTGTTCAAAAAGATACAAAGCTGTCATACCTTACAATGCTATAAACTTTGTAAAGGCTAACAAAGAAATTACTTTCCTAGGGCACAGGATCATTGGGGATGTACATCTCAAAAGCCATGTTCTTCAGAGTTCCTCAAGTATACAGATAATCTATAGCTTGGCTGGAGTGATTTAAATTGTCTGCAACAGGCTGTGAATGTCTTAGAGCCTTATCAAGATACTGGGTCTGATTCATGGTTATGATCTGGCCCCTTTGCACCTCTCACTGTAGAGAGTGTGCTAGTGAAGGAAGGAGGCATGCAGGGGGCAGAGAAGTGGAACATCTCTCTATTACACCAATCTTCCACTGGTGTAAAGTCCTTGAGGTAGACCAGCCCTAAGTCTGAGCCCCACTGCCCAGCACTGAAGCCCTCAAGCTTTGGCGTCCCCCTCCCCCCCCCAGGGCAGCAGGGGTGGTGGGGCTTCGGTCCCCCCTCCCAGGGTCATGTAGTAATTTTGGTTGTCAGAAGGGGGTCGCAGTGCAATGCAGTTTGAGAAACCCTGGTTTAGACATTTATTTTATATTATTAAGAGTATAATTTTAAAAAGTCAAAATCAAAATGAAACATTTCTCTTTTTTAAAATTTCATTCCCAAGAAATTCTGGCTTTTCATTCCAATTCAGAACAATAAAAAATAAAATAAAATAAAGTAAAAGGTTGAAATTCCATCCTGCAGAATGGAAATGGCTGTTCCCAACCAGCTCCATAACCATAATCTTCTACACACACAAAACCCCATCATTAGCATAGAGTTAAGGTAATTCAAGAGCATCGCCTGACCAAAAAAAAAAAAAAATACAAATCCAAGTCATCACATGCGAAAGCAACATTAAATGTGTACAACTTCATCTCTAATGTCTCACTACACAAACAAACATCATTACACTCACAAGCTCCCCATCTACAGAACAATCCCACTTCCTTTCTATCCTAACATATATGTCCATTTCCCCAATATCACACACATAAACTTTACCACTGTACACATGTCTATGGGAATAAACCTTAATCTAATTGAGAATGGAGTTCACATTCTGACTGAGTGTGACTTGAACTGGATATGCCCAATCTCCACCATACTCTTTACCCTCCCTC